TTATTAGAAGACCGTGATGTCAGAAACCAAATTTCTATCTGCTCTATCAAAATCGTAAGATTATTCTGAGTCGTTATCAAGATGTTCAAAGAGCTGCATCAAAAAAAGTTTGACATGATGTAAAAATCAAAAACGTTTGACGCCAGATTTCTCAAAACTTGATGCTAAGCAGAGAGAACTTAGTAATTCTGAGGTAGCGGCACCCCCCCCCCAAAAAAAAAAAAAAAAAAATAAAAATAAATAAATAAATAAATAAATAAATAAATAAATAAACAAAATAAATAAATTAAAACATTAAAAATCACTTGCCCTTTATTTAGTTAAACAATGAATCGAAAATACATCACAGTGAACTGTCTAGGATATTAAAAGTGCCCATCTGTGCATATATTTGAGTTGTATGAATATCGACGTATGAGATAATATTGGCTATGCCACACCTGAATGAAGAGCATAAACACTTCTCTCGTTAAAGTCGAGTACGCGCTTCACCCCCCCTCCCCCACCCCCTTCATTCAGCTCCATAGTGAATCAGAAATACGTCACATTGCACGGTCTAGGATATAGCACCCATCCAAGGAGTTCTATAAATATCAACGAGTGAGAGAATATTGGTTGCGATTGACGTGCCGCGTGAATATCAAATAATGGGAAGTTTGTCAGATCTCACCGAGGATGACTTGATAAATTCTGTCTCTCATCTTCCCGAGTGTTTTGCAAATTTGCACGAATAACCGATCGAGTGTGTTATGTGCTGTTCAGCTGTTCTAGTGTAACAGCGGTGTAATGTTTCTTTTTCTGTTTTAATGCTTGGGAAAGCCTTTTAGTGAGCATGGCTTGTAGGTTAAAAAAAAAGAATAGGGAAATAATGATGAGACTAACTGCCTTTTTATAGCGCATATCCATGCTGTGCAGCATACTCTATACTCGTTGCAACTATTATTACCACAGTTGACATAGAGCACTCAGAAACATTCTCAGTTTCCCAGGAAGCATACAGCGCTAGCAGTTGCACAAGCTGTAAGGTTGTTTAAGAAGCGTGGCGTCCGAATTTAACGTCCATCTCTGATTGGGCCGAAGGCAAAAATTCGTGTAAAGTGCCTTTTCCAAAGACTCAAAGTCGCACCGAGCTGAGCCACGAAACCCCAAACTCGTAATCTCATTATTACATGTTCAGTAGCCTAACCACTTGACTACTCAAAACTACTGACGCCGCCGATTGCAAGCATCTAGTACTTTACATCTATATGTCTGCTCGCACTGATTTTCTCCTCCCACTACATATCCTTACAGGAAGATCATGGCATACGAACCGCTGATGCACCTCTCGTGTTTATTTTAGTTTAATTCAATCAATTCTCTGCTGTTCCTCTTTCTCTTATGGTACAACTTTCTATTGTGGGGCCACTTTCAGTTTTTGGGATCATTTTCTCCTTTTATGTCAATTTCTCTCTTGGTTTCATTATCTGGGTCCTATTTTCTCTCTTTGTTCCATTTTCTCCTTTGAGACCAGTTTCTCTTTTGTGGCCACTTTCTCGGCTGAGGCCACTTTCTCTTCTGGGCCAACTTCTGTCCTAGCTATGCCCTTATAGACATTTTTGGTGTACTTTTTGTGCTCTCCGCACTGTCTCTCCTCCATACTTTTTTATCTGATCAGGTCCACAAAGCAAGGTGCGCGCTATTAAGAAATCCGGAGCCACCACTTTTGACGGTCTACCGCGATGTTACTATTCTTCTTGACGGTAGGCCTATACCATCGGACAAACTAGTCTACTATCCAGCTCCGACCAAGCCTTTTATGCTGTATTGGGGTTTTTGTTAGGGTTAGAGCAAGGGTTATGGTTAGTGTTAGTGTTCGTGTCGAAGTTAGGATTAGGGTTACAGTTAGTGTTAGGGTTAGAGCTAGGCTTGGGGTTAGAGTTAGGGTTAGAGCTAAGCTTACCCTTAGGCTGTGGCTTGGTTCAGGCTTAGGTTTAGGATTAGGCTTTGGGTCAGAGTTCATGTTAGGATTAGGTTTAGGGTTGTAGATAGTAGTTGACAAGTAAAACGTTAATTGTAACAGTTGTTAGACCTATCCTACAGTCCGCAGACAGTCAAGTAGAACATAAACACCGGAGTAGACTGTCGAGTGGACTGGCACTAGATGTCCTCGTAGTTGGGTATCGAAGAATCCAAGAAAGTCCCTATCCAGCCTTTCTTATTTTGTGAACCATATCAACTGAGTGAGTGCATTTCTTTCATGGCAAAATAATATAAATAATATTCCATGGGAATTATGATAATATAAAGGGCAGGGGCGGCTCGTGGGTCTAAAAAGTGGGCGTGCACAATTAGGCTATCATAGGCTGAAGATAATCAAGGGCGGAGTAAATGGGATGGTGTATAATTTTAGGATCTTTGGGTTGGTGAAGGAAGACCTTGTGCTTTTATTTTCATTCTTTTTACTTGTGGCTTTGACTTCTAGAACTAAATCTGTTTGTTAGCTAAACGTCAATTTCATTCATCCTGCATTAGAACTGAACACTCAAGTAATACCTTTCACCACTCCACTACAAAACCGTTCAAAAACACAACTCATAGGACGGCGACTTAATCAATATGAATGTACCGCCAAACTCTCTACAAGTGTCGTCATCACTTGGGTTATCCCAAGGAGCGATTTATAGGTCAGGTTCCCTCTGTTGACTATCCTGTTATGTTTAGATACAGCGCATGAACTTAGGCATTGCATAGTAGATGTTTTACGGCGCTATAGAATAGAAATGACAGTTACGGCACCAGCAAGGGCCTTTTTTTGATATAATATTAGGCTAGTGTTTGTTTCTGGCGTCTTTTATTTCATTATTGTGTGTGCTTTACGTCATAGAACATTAAAACATTTTGGGAGGCATTGCACGACCGTGCTCTATGGACGAACCGCGCCTGATAAAGGGGAAAGAGAACGATAGAAATAATAGAGGGATAGTAAAAGTAGAAGGTCCTACCAGTGACGTTGTCCAATCACAAACTTTTCAGTAAACGTCCGTTTGTTCCTCCTAATCTTATACATGTAAAAATGTTGCTGGTCTATGTAAAACTAAACAGTGTAAGCCAAACCCGGCGGTATCCCCTACTATAGAAAGAACAAATTAGTAAGTACGGTGGTTGCTAGAGATCATCCGTGTTGTGACAGGCGAAATTCAATGTCCGCTTGGAAATACATGTAGCTGGGCTGTACGAAAATGTTAACCTCTTAAAGTTACTTACTTTACTTTCATTTTTTCTTAAAGGAAGTCGCAAAAGTGGACGCTGGTTGTACAAAGGTTGACAAGCACTTATGTCATCGTGGTTAAACCCAGGAGCTCGTCAAAATAGTGAAATCAAAGAAATCGATTTTTCCCGTCCGTTATTTTATTTTGATTGTCGTTGTTGTTGTTATTGTTGCTGTTGTTGTTGTTGTTGTTGTTGATGATGTGTGTGTGTATTTGTTTGTGTGTGTTTGTAAGTGTGTGTTTGTGTGTGTGAGCTTATCAATCCGAAATGTTTGGAACCTAAAAGAGTGGCTTATTGTTGTTGTTGTTGTTGTTGGTGCTTTTTTTGGGGGGGGGGGGTTGTTCTAATTTCTATATGCTCAACACTTTTTATTACAAATACTTTTCTGTATGCATTTTACTGAAAAACTCTTAACAAAAGCACACAAATTAAAAAGTTATATTTTCCAAGGACACTCAAGTTTTGGAAGGGGGCCTTACTAAACTTTTGTGGCCATTTTCTCGATAATTTCACTTCTGTCAAAAGGAGAGTTCCACCTCCTTCATTTGCAAAATAATATATCTCGATTTCTGAACAAGATTGGTATTTTTTTTCATCATAGGCATGAAAGCTGAAGAAGCTTTAAGATGATACCAGTAAATGAATACGCCCCCGAACTGACGAACGCCTGATTCCAATACGTCGTGACAAATTGATTTAAAAGCCTTCTCGTGTACTGTTGTGAGCGTTTCCTCCACACGTTACCGTCAGTGGGTGGTTGGCAGGTGCTCCGGTGTGGTTTGCTTCTTCTTTCCTTAAAAAAATCTATCGTCCTTTTCTCCCTTCCTTTTTTATGTTTGTTACTCTCTTGTAACACCTCTAATCTTCTGGCGCTCACATGACCTTATTCAGTTGCGAGCGCCGTAAAACCTCTACTAAAACTAAAAAACGTTACCGTCATGGAAATAATCCCTTTGTAGCATTTGACGTACCGTCATCTGCAGAGACATGTTTAGACTTTTTTTCTCTGTGGCATGCAGGAGACATGAGTTCTATTCCCTCTTGGGAAATTTAATCGATTGGGTTTCTCCTCCTGTCTATTAAGATGTTGTATCCCATTTAGCCTGGGTTGACCCTGACTGGCAGGATCGAAGCAATCCTTCTCCTAAACGATCTAAATTAGGTTGATTTGGGACGCAGAACACTGAGACAAGTACGAACACAAACTAAGACCACCATTGGGATGTGTGTATGTATGTGTGTGTATGTATGCATACCTGTGTGTGTACGTGTAGGTGTGTATGTGTGGGTGTAAGTGTGTAAGTGTATGTATGTGTGTGTACGTGTATGTGTATATGTGTGTGTATGTGTGTGTGTGTGTGTGTGTGTGTGTGTGTGTGTGTGTGTGTTTGTGTGCGTGGGTGTGTGTTTGTGTGTTCAAGCTCCTTTGACCAAACCACCTTTTTCCATTTTTCAACGATGACGATTTGTTTCTATATGTATAGCAAGAAACACAAAAAGGGAATTAAGAATTAAAAGAAAACCCCCACTGATAGTATAAATATGCCTCCCGGCTCGTGCAAACAGATGGTGTAATAATATTTTGTGAGCGTCTGCACTTGCCGATTATCGATCGTTAGATAAAAGGGCCATTACTGGAACCCGAGAGCGGGTTGCAGCGCTACACCCCCCTGTTGACTGCAAGCCCTCTTCTCTTCTGTTTAACCAAGAGAAAAATGCTCTCCGCTTTATATCAACGGACTCTTCTTCCAGCTGATCACACATCGCCCCCCGTGGACAGGGAGACAGTGCTCACTCACACACTCACTCATTCGCTCGTTACTCACTCACTCACTCACTCGCACCTTTCTAGTCTGAGCGAGGCGACTGGTGGTAGCTGTTTTTCAATACCGATTGTAATTGATTTCTGTGGATATGTAGTAAGTAATGAATAAATTGATGTTACGTTTCCATATATTTGATTCGGCATTTAGTGACAAATATAGAAAAATATACTGTCGAACATGTCCAAGAAGACCAACAATTGAGGAGGAGAAATGTGTTTTATTTTTTACAAGTCGTGGTCCATTTGGAAAGTGTTATTATAAAATTGTAGAAAACGTGCAGAGGGAAGGGGCGGTCGTTTGTACAGGAGATTGTCTTGACAGGTTTACATTGAAGCAGGTTCGACTGTATTGTCCATATCTGACTTGACATTAAATTAAGAATTGGATTTAAAAATCTTGCTACATTTGATGTGACATTTTATGGAGAAATTGACCCCCCCCCAACAAAAAAACCCCCAACAACAAACAAACAAAAAAACAAAAACATTTTTTAATATATAGATCTACATATAAGAAATAGTTGATGTTACATTGCGCAATACGTGGCGCAAATTATTGTCAAATATCTCCTCAACTATTGAACTTTGACTTTCCAACTTTTGTACAATGACTTGTATCAATTTGTCTCAGCAGATCAATATTTATGCTAACACCTATTAGCTGTATTCTAGAAAGTTCCTTAAAGAATACTAATTGTAAAAATCCCAGTGGGTCGTTTCTACAGATATAAAAATGTTTTCATTGTATGAGCTGGGACAATAGCAAAAGGAAGTTCGTCCTTTCTTCTAATGGCGCCCATAGTACGCTTATTGAACGCACTGGGGATCTTAAGTGTAAAAATGAGTTTCCCCATAACTTTTCCTTTTGGTTACAATTAATGAGGTTGGTGGGGTTTTTTTGCAACTACAGGTGGTTATATTTCATTATTTATCATTAACAACCAAGTCGCACTGGCATAAGCACATTGCTACTGAACAGTGAATTTTTGCCATTAGAAAGTGTCATTGGTGAGCAGTGATATAGCCATGACATAGTATGCGAAATGTGTGTGAGAAGCTTAGAGTACTATGAACACCCCCATTTTTTGTTTGATGGAGAGTTTGAAGAATTTTGATTTTATATAATTTAGAAAGAAAAGTAAAAAAAAAATTTGCTTGAATTTTTTCTTTGAAAAATTAAATAATAATATTTATGATTAAGTTAAGACAAATCGTTACAAGCTACTGTTGAAAGTATGAGTGACACTGATTCACCCATGTAAGAGATATAGGATAAGTTGCGCCACGAATTTTCAATCGCAAATATTTCAAATTCTATTCAACATACTACTCGTAGATGGATTTTTTTCACCAAAAGGAAGTCAAATGAACAGGCTTTAAGATGATACCAATAACCCCATTATTCTCCAAAAATTGACGAGCGCCTGATTCCACCACGTCGTGACACATATTATTACTTGTACGTATGTATAGCTGTGGTGATGGCGAAAAAAATAGGATACAAACTGTAGATTGATAAATATTGGTGAACTAAAGCTGTTGAAACGAGCGCTTGAGACGGGTAGCGCATCTTGTGTCTCCTTAGATTCCTTCTACTTGTTGCCCATCCTCTTCTGCGTGTGCACAGACAGATACCCAAACACATACAACACACATACACACACATACACACACACACACATATATA